ACACTGACCTCCTGTCATCAAGGCTGCCTCCTCAATCAGCATTAGCAAACGTCATAATTTCAAGCGACTTGCCAGCACATGAAAATGTGAGACCATAGTTTAACGTTCTAGCTAGGTATCGAAGTATCCTCTTCACTGCAGCCAAATGCAACTCAGGTGGAGCATGCATATACTGAGCATCCTTGTTGAATTAAATGCAATATCGGGTCGCGTATAACAAGCATATAGCAGAGCACCAATGATGCTTTGATATTCGCGTGCATTTGTTAATAGATCTCCAGCCTCCAGAGTCAATTTTGGAGACCCTACCATCGGGGTGGCAATGAGAGTGGCATGCAATAAGTTTGTCCTTTTCAACAGCTCGAGTATGTATTTCTTTTGAGATAGCATCAAAGACTCCTTGCTGCGTTTGACTTCAATGCCCAAGAAGTAGGACAGTTCTCCTAGATCCTTTAAGGAAAACTCCTGATTCAACTCTTGTATTACATCATTAATAACACACGAAGAAGAACTTGTAAGTATGATATCATCAACATAAACAAGCACATACGTATAACAACCTTCATCATTCTTAACAAACAGTGATACATCAGCCTGAGATGCACTAAAGCCTAGCCGAATTAAACTGGCTTTAAGCTTGTCATGCTAGTTTCTTGGTGCTTGTCTCAATCCATACAGAACTTTATGAAGTTTGAACACATGCAAACTGTCATCAGCAGCATACTCCTCAAAACCAGGTGGTTGTTGCATAAACACTTCCTCGGTCAGATCACCGTTTAAAAAGGCATTATTCACATCAATTTGCCTTAAGGGCCAACCCTTTGCAACTGCAATCGATAGAACTGCATTCAATGTTGGAAACTTGACAACAGGACTATATGTTTCCTTAAAATCATAACCTGGTACTTGTGAATATCCTTTAGCAACAAGACGGGCTTTGTGTCTCTCAACAGATCAATCAGCCTTCTTTTTTATTCGAAACAGCCACCTACAACCAACAACCTCACGTCCTACAGGCAACTTGACAAGTAACCATGTCTTGTTTCTTTGTAATGCATGAACTTCTGCTTGAACAACTTCTTTCCAGCTAGAAGTCTTGAGTGCTTCATAAACATCACGTGGAACTTCATCAGCAGCAGCAATCGTATAAGCTTTTGGTTTAACTATGCCACACTTACTTCTTGTCATCATTGGATGCGTGTTTACTCGAGCAGTATCTACATTGCATGCATTTTCTGCAGGTGTATGCTACTGATTCATCCCTTGATCATTATCATGAGTACTAGCAACATCATCTTGATCAACATCACCAGTATCTTGGCCACTAAGAGAGACTTCACTTGGTACTTGATGCTCGATACCTAGCACCACACCTGCATCCTCTGCCATTATAGAACTGGAATTAACAGCATGTGCATTATTCGAGTCTCCACTGGTACTGGCCACATAGTCATGGCTTGATTCAGCAGTACTTCTGCCATTGAGCAATTTGCTAACATCAGTTACTACTTGAAACGAGCTGGGAAAGCTCCTTATATTTGCAGTAGGCTTATGACTACTTTTTCCTGTAAACAGAAACTTCATTTCATCAAACACCACATGCCTTATTATATAAATCCTACCATCCTCAGCAAGACATTGAAACCCCTTGTGTTGCATACTGTAACCTAAAAACGTGCAAGGCTTGGACCTGAAATCCAACTTATGCTGTAAATACGATCTCAAATGAGGGAAACAAAGGCACCCGAATACCTTCAATTGCCCATAATTAGGTTTCCTATGGAAAAGTTTCTCAAATGGTGAGATGCCTTGCAAAACTCTCGTAGGAAGCCTGTTTATCAGGTGAACTGCTGTAACCACTGCATATGCCCAAAATTTGACAGGCATTGATGCTTGAGCAAGTAGAACGAGAGCTAGTTCAATAACATGGCGATGCTTGCGTTCAACCACTCCATTCTGCTCGGAGGTATGTGGACAAGTCAGCCTGTGTGTGATGCCCTTACTCAATAAGTGATTCGACAACTTGCGATACTCACCTCCCCAATCACTTTGCACAACCTTTATAGGTAAGTTAAACTAAACCTTAATCATTTACTGAAACATCTCGAACTCACTAACTTCTTGAGCCTTATCTTTCAGCAGATACAACCATGAGTGTCTGGTGCATGCATCAATAAATGTTTCATAATATTTGTCACCATTCGAGACAATATGTGAGGGTCCCCAAAAATATGTAAATACCAACTGAAAGGGAGTGTCATACATAGTTGTAGATGCATGGAATGGTAATTTGTGACTCTTTCCTAAATGACAGGTAACCCATGTTTATTGATACTTGAGGGCAAGCTTACATTCAGTTCCTTACAATTTTTTAGTAGGCTATTATTCGAGGGATGACCCAAACGCTGATGCCACGACTCATACACAGATGTAGATAATTGTGTTATATAAACTGCTGGCTTAGAACTATCTCTAATCGATGAATCCACAGCAAAGGAATACAAACCACCATCTTCTTTCCCTCGAAGCAAGACTTCACCAGTTCCTTTATCACGAACGCATCACTCATGTGCATGGAATTCAAAGAAAATGTTGTTATCCCTAGCAAGCTTTGACACCGAGAGTAAGTTCTTGGTTATTCTTGGCATATGCAATAAATCGGTTAAAAACAACACGCGAGAAGATGTATGTAAGAGAGATTTCCTAACAGACTTAACATCTAATGCAACACCATCACCAACAATTAATTTACCTGGATTGTTGAAATCCATAGGTTGAGAAATATTCATGCCATCAGAGAAGTGACATGATGTGTAGCACCCGAGTCCACAATCCAGTACTCACGAGATGCAGTTAGCTTATGACAACTTGATTTCTGACTAGCACCACACTCACAGCCAACATCTTTATTAGTAGCATAGTAGGCAGTGCTTGACTCATTCTTTGAGTATGAATTGTTATTAGCTGTAACTCCAGGAAAGTCCTCATCAAATCGATGCCAACACCAATCCACCAAATGGCCATTCTTTCCACATAATTGACATTGCATCCAATACCTACCCTGTCCTCTACCAGCTGATCTACCACGCAAGTACGTCGGACGAGAGGCAACCGATCACTCAGATTGATCTACTTCTTTGTTTGTCATTTGTCCTTGAGCAACATGTGCACTCATGGGCAGCGAATCAATTGGATCACATAACCCAGCTAGTTGAGTCTCAGCATACAACAACATTGTGTAAATAGCATCAAGAGACACTGACTCTCGCATTGTAGTTATGACAGCTACAAAAGGTTGGTATTCGCGAGGTAATCCATTCAAAATACTGGCAACTTGCACTGCTTGAGACACAGCATTGCCACACCATGCTAGAGCATCGCATACTTTTTAAACTCTAGTGACATACACTCTCATGGATTCATCACCTTTTTTATTGTAATGCAGATTAATAACAGCAGTTGTAGATCTGTTCGAGAAGAACTGAAGAACCGTGCTCCAAACTGCAGAAGCCGTTTCAGCACCCACAAATTGAGGTAGCAATTGTGAACTTATCGTTGACAATAGCCAGGATGCCAGAGCACTATCCTGTGCAACGAATTCCTTATACTTCTCATTCGGTACATTTTCACCAGATTCATTAAGCACTGTCTGCGATGGAGTAGACATCAAGCCAGTAAGTAGCCTCTCCAATCTCTATGGCTACGAACGGTGAGCAACACCTTTTGCTTCCATAGTAGAAAATTTGCTTCATCAAGGATGACATTAACCTTCTTATCGGAGAATGTCTTTGCATTCCTCGACGTATTCTCCATTGAAGAAGCTAATCGATCAGTGTTCATGACAAAAATCTTCCTTCTTCTTCTTTCTTTAAGCATCAAAAGCACAAAGAAACTGCCCGAATCGTTTGGCGAAAGATACCATGTTGAAATCACAAGTAATGAAATTCAGCTAGAAAACGTGTATGTTATTTACACTGTATCTGCTGCTATTATATACACAATTGTGTTGCTGAGTTGGATGTAACTGCTTTGCAGTTTTAACAACCTGTAACTAACTTTCCTAATGACATCTTAACAGCCTGAAACTAACTGAAACTAACTTCCACACACACAAATTCTTACGCACATACAACCACACTTTCATGCATACAACCACACTCTAACATTCTAACAACATGTAAAAATATTATATCAGTAACATGTGTTAACCGCTAGTTAATTAACGATTTTCCTTTAATAAGGTATGTTTTGAAAAAAATTAAAACGTTAGGATGTAAAATAATCCAAAAAAATAACGAACGAAATGAATATTTGTTTAAACATTTGGGATGTATTTGTGTCATTAATCTAGTTTTAAAAGGGATAAATTTATAAAATTTTAAAAATGAAAATAAATTATTAATAAAAATATAAAATAAATATGAAAAATGAAAATACTAAAGAGTCCGATCCGCTCTCAATCTCAATCCATCAAGTTTGAGGAGAGGGAATAGGAGGCATGGGACCCAAAGGGGGAATGGTAAGAATGAAGGCAGTCGTCGAACGTAGGTCCATGTTGTGTTGCTGTTGTTTTCTTTTTAGGGTGGGGGTCCATTTACTCCATTAAACATGTAAAAATTATATGGATTAGCCAAGAACATGCAAGCATGATATGGAAGTCTAGCAGGTCTGGTAATATAAAGGAAAAAGATGTACAAATCTTTAACAAGTATATTAAAAAATTTAAAAGAAAATATGAAATGAAAAAGGAAATTAAGACGTGGGGCTCATATGAGAAATGGGCCTCCACCATTTGCCATTACCAATTCATTTCAAATTTGATTTATACTTTATGAGAAAAGTAGAATAATTTACAACTAGACAATGGTGTAATGTCCTGAGTGTCACTAACATGGGCTGCCAAATTGCAGTAAGATTCTATCAATGCCCTTCATCTCTCTCGAATTCTTTAATTCCAATACATCTTTTACACCACTATATATAGCTCACATTCATCACCTAATTTCACACCACTCAAATCTTTCCTCAACTCTATAATCTCTTACACTTCATTCATTCTTTTCAATCTTTTCTTCAAGCTTCTATTCCCAAATGGCCAGCGTTGATGTTCAGGTAATCAAAACTATAACATTGATATCTTTAATTGATCATTAGCTTCAATCATGTCAATGATAAATTAAAGATTTTCATGTTTTTTCTAGGTTCAATCAGCTGCTGCAACAACATCGCTAGAGAACGAGACAGCACCACCAGAGGTAACCAAGGTTGAACTTGAGGAGACAACACCAAAAGAGGAGCCAACCGCTGCACCCGTGGTAGCCGAGCCGGTCCCAACATCAGATGCTCCGCCTGCTCTAAAGGAAAGCGCGGCTCCCGAAGCCGATACCAAAGAAGTCGTAGAAGAAGAAACCAAGGTTGAAGAGGAAGCAAAGTCAGCACCAGAGGAGATAAAGGAGGAGACACCCGAGGCGAGGCCGGAAGCACTTACGAAGGAGGCCAAAGTCGAGACTACGGAAGCACCGGCAGATACCGCAGCAGGAGAGGAGGAGAAACCGGACGAGGAAAAGGGAGATGAAAAAGGCGAAGAAGTTCCTGTTGAGAAAGTTGAGGAATAGAGCGACCATTTTGCAAAAGGTGGCATAGCTGAAAAGGAGTTTCTTTTTTATAGCTTGCATGTCATGGTTCATATAGTCATCATATCATATATAATAACTAAACTATGTAGGGTATGGGACGATGAGAGTTTTTCTTCTTCTTTTTCTATTGTCTTTCTTTCTTTCTTTCTTTGGGGTTTGGTGTTAGTAACATGCCATGTGCATTGCCATGCTGGGGGAAGAAACTATGGGATTTACATATTAGGTGGTATGGATGTATGTATGCATGTAGGTGTTGTTTTGGTTACGAGATATGATGAGTTTGATATTGTGTGAAGAGATGAGATGGGTATGTATCTCCATATTTGCATAATAAACATATATTTGTGTTTAACAAGTGTTGGTGCAATGGTAAAAGCTTAAAGAGAATTTAGACTAAAACCTATAAGTCATTGTAAGACGAATTTAGAAATATTTTTAGGATGAGTATATATATCTATATTAATAAATAAAATTCATATGAGGTGAACAAAAATTCAGGATCAACGTCATCAGTAAAATAGATAACTTCTTTCAACTTGAGGCCTGAAAGATTAGTCTTCATAAATAGTAAAGCAAACATGAAAGATACTTCGATTGTACCAAAAGAAAAAACAAACTATGCAATTCGAAAACACTAATTAGAGGATTTCTGGTGAGTGTAGATGTCATTGGCTCATTGCACAACTGTGTAATTACATGAAAGCAGATACCAAAGAAGTGCATGGAAGTGAGCAATCCTTCCAATTTGCCCCCCTGCCTTATTCATGAAAAATGCTATACCTGTACAAAACAGTTGTCCCAGATAAAAGAAATAAAGAAAAGAAAAAGCAATGACATCTCATGAAGGAAAGACAATTTAACTACTTCACCTTCTTAGATAGTCTAATGATAAAGCAGATGACAATGAAACTATAAACCTGTACAAAGCTGAGTACCAATTTTTCTGTGTCAAAAAGCCTTTTTTTTTACCCCCCAAATGCAGATGTAATTCATGTTTTTTTTTTCCTACCAGGTACCAAAGCTGCAGCCGACATGTTCCTGAGTAATAACGTCGAGACGTTTTTGTATTTCAACCTTGGAGGGATACGGCGGGAAACACAACCTGTAAAAGCAGGTATGAGAAGAAGGGAGACGCCCGTGCGGCTCTGAGGACTTATAAATATAGAGCTGAGAGGGTAAACCACGGAAACCTTCAACCGGAAGATGCTTCAAGGAGGTCCAGAAGAAAAGAAGTGTCTTTCTTTTCTCTGCTGACATTTCCCTAACAATCTGCAATATTGTTGAAAAGCGAGAAAGTGAATTATAAGGGACACAAGCTATATGATGCATTCTCCAAGCAGACAAAAGCTAAATACTAAAACAATAATCTAACAGCAATTTCATCACTAATCATAACACTTTCCATTGCTGAAGAATCATGCACCATCTACTTCTTGAGGGTCGGCTCATAAACATTGAGAGCATTGTAGTTTCGCAATCACTATTCTAGACTGGTTCAGATTTTTACCTACAAGATGCAAGAATCTACTGACAATACAGAAACCCAAATTGAGTTGCGACAAATCAAGCCATCGAAAAGGCAGTGCAGAAGTAAAGGGTGGGGATGCAATATTCTAACTAGGAATACCATTATTGCCGATGTATCTTTAATTTAAGATATATTCACCCTTGTTCCACCGGATCCCTGTTTTTAAAACAAGACTACAAATATGTGATAAGGAGAATATAAATATAAATGTTATGAGGTGAGCAACATGAAAAACAAATAGAAAGAAATTGATTCTCTTCATTTCTTTTTTATTAAAAAAGAATATCAAGACCTTAACACGATTTAAATACAATCCTATGTGTTCGTACCTCCCAGAACCAGGTTATTTGAGGATCATTTTCTGAGTAGCCATTGTACCATGTGCCTTCCAGTCTTCAGCACAAATAGGACTTTCGCTTCCATATAGCATCCAATCAAGGTCCTCAAGTTCTAAACTTTGAAAAAAGAACTTCTGGAGCCTTGAGTTAGAAAGAATATGGCTAAAGCCTTGGGAAAATTGCTCTACCTGTTCAGAAATAGACGTTACAAAGCGGTCCTGAATAAGAAGATTAACATATTTCTGCTATTTACAACAATGTTTTGCCCATCACAACAAAGCTCAACAACTCTCCTGGATCCTAACTCCTCAACTTCTCTGACAAATGTCAGTCCTAAAACATCCGAATCAATAAACTCAGCATCCATCTCAAGAATCTTCTTGCAGCTGCTATACAAGAATGGATCTGCCTCTCGTATATCTTCCAATGATATATGTGTTGAAAATTAAATATTAGCCTAAATAAGTTCACACCTAAATTAATTTGATGTCATTGCTTACATCAATTTAGTTTTGATGTCATTGCTTACATCAATTTAGTTATGTGAAAATTAAGTATTTTTCTGTTTTAATTTCAATGGTTTAGATTATTTAGTGCTTTTTAATGAGGTTAGATTGTTTCTTGTAACCTATAAATACCCTACTTGTTTGAGTTTATCATCCAACAATCAAAGCTTAATTATAAGCATTAGAAAGCTTTCTTAAGAGTTCTTCCCTTTTGCAATTTTGTGAGATTATTCTAAAGAGTTTTTTCTTCTTCTCGATCAATTAGAGTTTTTACTCTATTTGATTCAACAATTGGTATCAGAGCCACGTTTTTAAGGTCTCTTGAATTCTGAGTAGCTCTGTGGCAGTTTTTAACTGATCTTCCACATCAGAATATTTCTTGAGTTATTGTCGGGGTTATTACAAACCTTGTGGAGCTTCTTTGTGTTTAGGGTAATTTAGTACTCTGCACGTTTGTTACTCAAGCTTGTTCGGTGTAGTCAAAGCCTTGCCGTTAAGATGGGTGATCTTCAAGTAGTTGGGGGATCAAGAAGCTCAACAACAAAACTACAACCGTGGGCAACATGTATGGAGTCATACTTACAAGGTCAAGACCTTTGGGAGGTTGTCGGCGGTGGTGAAGTTACACAACCGGCGACAGAAGATGCCAATGGAATCTTGCGAAAGTGGAAAATTAAAGTAGGCAAAACAATGTTTGCTTTAAAGACCACAATTGAAGAAGAAATGTTGGAGCACATTCGGGATACTAAAACACCAAAGGAAGTATGGGACACTTTTGTTACACTCTTTTCGAAGAGGAACGATACAAAATTGCAACTTCTCGAGAATGAACTTCTATCAATGGCGCAACGCGACATGGCGGTTGCCCAATACTTTCACAAGGTGAAGTCGATATGTCGCGAAATTTCAGAATTAGATCTGACAGCTGCTATTGGGGAAGCCATGATAAAAAGAATAATTGTCCATGGTTTGAGACCCGAATATCGAGGGTTTGTTGTCGCTGTACAGGGATGGCCGACACAGCCATCGCTTGTTGAGTTCGAAAATTTGCTTGCAGGTCAAGAAGCCATGGCCAAGCAAATGGGAGGAGTCTCGCTGAAGGGTGAAGAGGAAGCGCTCTACACCAGCAAAAGTAGAGGCACTTTTCAGCGGTATACTGGCAGTGGATCTAAAAAGGATGGTGACAAAGTGAAAAATTACCAAGGAAAGGGAGGCCCTCATTCAGGGGGAGCATCCAAGAATCGCGGTAATAGTAGAAAGTTCGATGGCAAGTGTTATAACTGCGGAAGATGGGTCACATGGCAAAAGACTGTGGGACCAAGAAAAATCCTGTTGAAAGTAATACTGCTACTTCTTGTTCGAAGGAGAATAGTGAAGATGGTTGGGATGTTGAAGCGTTATTTGCTACGGAGGAAGAAGAATTAGCTCTCACGGTACAACACCAGAACAGATTGACTACAAGAATGATTGGATAGTAGATTCTGGCTGCTCAAATCATACGGGTGACAAACAGAAGTTACAAAACCTGTCTGAGTATAATGGAGGTCGTGTGGTGCTGACAGCTGACAACTCAAGGTTACCGATAACTCACATCGGTAAGACAATAGTTACGCCTCGATATAATACTAATCAGGTGCAACTCCAAGATGTTTACCATATCCCAGGAATGAAGAAAAATTTGCTATCTGTGGCTCAACTAACATCATCATGCCATTATGTCTTATTTGGTCCCCAGACGTGAAGGTTTATCGTGACGTCAAAATCTCAGAAACACCAACAATGGAGGGACGACGTTTGGAATCAATTTACGTGATGTCAGCAGAGTCTGCATATGTAGACAGGACAAGGAAAAATGAGACATCAGATCTATGGCACATGCGGTTAGGTCACGTTAGCTATTCCAAGCTAAGTGTGATGGTGAAAAAGTCGATGCTTAAGGGGCTTCCTCAACTAGACGTGAGAACAGACACGGTCTGTGCGGGATGCCAGTATGGTAAAGCACACCAATTACCATATGACGAGTCGAAGTTTAAAGCAAAAGAACCGTTGGAGTTGGTTCACTCTGATGTGTTCGGACCAGTTAAGCAACAATCAATTAGCGGTATGCGGTACATGGTAACATTCATTGATGACTTCTCCAGGTATGTGTGGATTTTCTTTATGAAAGAAAAATCTGATACTTTCTCAAAGTTTAAAGAGTTCAGAGACTCAGCTGAAGGAGAAGTGGGAAAGAAGATATGTTGCTTGCGCACAGACAACGGAGGAGAATATAGATCAAACGAGTTCTCTCAATACCTAAGGGAATACCGAATACGTCATCAGTACACTTGTGCCAACACGCCACAACAGAATGGTGTAGCGGAAAGAAAAAATCGGCATCTTGCAGAAATTTGTCGAAGTATGCTACATGCAAAGAATGTACCTGGAAGGTTTTGGGCTGAAGCAATGAGGACTGCAACCTTTGTGATCAATAGACTTCCTCAACCAAGGTTAGAATTTGTTTCACCCTTTGAGAAACTATGGAACATAAAACCTACAGTTAGCTACTTTCGAGTATTTGGTTGTGTATGTTATGTGTTTGTTCCTGATCATTTACGGAACAAATTTGACAAGAAAGCTGTTAGATGTATCTTTGTGGGATATGACAGCCAGAGAAAGGGGTGGAAATGTTGTGATCCAATTAGTGGAAGATGCTACACGTCACAAAATGTGGTATTTGATGAAGCATCTTCTTGGTGGTCCTCAGAGAAGGAGGTGTTGCCAGATTCGAGAGAATTTAGAGACAAGCTACAATAAAAGATGGGGGAGCATGTTGTTCAACTCCAAACAAGTTCAGATGAATTAGAAGATCCAAATGGCGATGATGTCGAACAAAGAGTGACTCAGAATCCTTGGCAAACTGGCGTGTATCAACAACCAAACGAAGAAGGTGGGCCTAGTGAAACAGAAAAATCAATTCCACA